CCATTGTTCGTTTCGCACTGAAGTTCGGAGATAAGTTTTGTTATTAATTGAGTACAAAATTATAAAATATTTTGCATATTCAGGTACCTAAACACCTAAATTTTATTTCCTTGGTCTATTGAAGGGTCGGGTAATTTGACAATGGACATAGTTAGTTTGGTACCTATACGTAATTATTGATGCTTAACAAATAATTGCCACTATTATTCTTCCATAAGATGAAATTGTCGAATTTCATATCCGAATTTTCGACTACTTGCAAGCAACATCAACTTACTTTTTTTTTAACACAGTCCTAAAATTTTGATATACTTTTTTGAAGTTTTTTAACCGCAAAAGGACAGTGTGTCCACTCAAACTGCCAGCATATGGGAATTTTTTTATCATCAGTACATATACGCACGCCTAATTTTACCATTTTTCTTACCCTATTATCAAAACCAGTTTTAATTTGAGTTTTTCATGAGTTTTTTAATTACATAATTATTTATTTGAAAAAATGTTTTTGATTATTAAATCAAAATCTTTGATAGGGCGCTGAGGTACTTTGAGCTGCATCAAATCATGTACGTCAAATTCATGGTTAAAAATATTTAATGTATATGATAACGGCAACCCTGTACATTGTTGTACCTTTATCAATCCACTGTACGCTGTCTCGATTTCAAATGAAATCTGCAACATTTTTATACAGCTCATGGTGTGTAGATGGCGATACCGAGCAAACGCAGGGGTAGCATTATTTCTTTCAATTTCTTTCTGGTTCTGCCATCTATCTAAATATAAACAAAATTCAATGTTGAAGAGAAATGTTCAAATGGGAAATATATTACTAGAGACTTTTTATACAATGGTAATACCTTCAATCGCCTACCAAAGATAAATTACCTACCTATCACCTAAATTCTACTTGTTCACTGTCAAAAGCGGAAGGCGCATTTTTTTCATCATTTTCTTTTAGATATTTTGTTACCGCACGATTGTAGATAAAATACTGTATAATACGTATGGTAATTAGGCTATTACCGCCCTTAGAGATTGCAAATTTGTCTCGCGTGCGGTAATAACCTAGATACCACACCTATCAATTAAATTAAATAATGTAATATTACCATTTCACCTAGATTACTTGCATAGGAAGTCGTCAATTTTTACGTTCAGTAGATAAACGTAATCTTTTCCTATCAAAAATATCTGAAGTTGTACCAAAGGTTTTACCAAAACACAAAAGGCAATGCAAAAACTCTTCGAAGGCACGGGCCAGTCAAAACAATTATTGAGATAAGAATAAATAATATTTTATTCCCTTGATGGTGTCGAGGCGCCGGCCGGGGGTTGGCGGGTCAGTTCTCAGTGTTGCCATTCCATAGAATATGTAGTTGCGATTGCATTAACCCTTGAACGGCTAGCGTTACCGTATGGTATCAGTGACGCACATTTTTATTTAAATCAAAATTGCCCATTCCTATGAAAAAATACGTTTATAGGTTATGTCAACCTGTTGTTCGATCGTATTTTGAGCCGATTTATAATTTGCTGCACTTTTAGTTTTTTTGGTTTTGGTGTGACATTGTGTCAAATTTGAAAAAACATAATGGCCGATCAACCGTTGGACTTTTGTTTACAGTAAGTACCATGATTTTTATATTTCAGTTATAATCGGTGCAAAAACAGTGATTTATGCCAGATAACTGTTCCACCTTTATAGTTGATTAGTAATGGTGATGTTATAAATCATGTTTTTGCTCTCTCGCGTGTTTTTTTTCTTACGTTACCAAATGGTAACGCTAGCCGATTATGTAGTCAAAACATTTTTTTTTTTCAGACGGGGTTTTACTCTCGAGGAGGCTCTAAATATGGTCTATGAGGACGACTTGGATGTTAGAGAGATTTTCCTGGAACCTCCAGACACCAATGTTCTTACAGACGAGGACTCAGCCGAAGAAGATGAAGGAGGTATGATTGACAATCTCAACAGACAGCAGCTCTCAGCTTATGTTGAAATAAAACTTCACAATGCTGAGAGGCCGAGAGTGAAATAGAGAACGGACCGAAGCCGATGAAACTCAAATCCAAGAAGTTATTGAAGTTGAAGAGCCTGCTGTTGTAACTCACAATTTACCAGAGCGTCCAGGTAAGACCAAAATAACTTGGGCAGATGGAGACCTTTTTCCGACACCAAGGGAATTTCCAAAATCAGACCGCTTACGATATGTGAATTTGACACCCGTTGAAGTATTTGAAAAGTTTATAGATGACGAAGTTGTTCAATATATTGTCAACGAATCTAACAAATACGCGTTATTCCTAAATCATGCAAATCCGAAAATTGCAATTGCTGAGATGAAATGCTGCCTAGCAATTCTCATCCTGACAGGATATTCAGAACTACCTGGTAGAGATTTTTATTGGGACTCTCAAGATGATATGAGAAATCAAATGGTTAGCAATGCAATGCGAAGAGATAAATTCCGGCAAATACTAAGATACTTACACTGCGCAGACAATACAAAACCTAATCAATCCGATAAGCTTTGGAAACTTAGATCCATCATGGACATGCTAAAACAATGGTTCATAGAAAACTGGATTCCAGAGCAAGACTTGGATTTCGACGAATCGATGATCAAATACTTTGGGCGGCACTCTTGCAAACAATTTATTCGTGGAAAGCCAATAAGATTCGGTTACAAGATGTGGTGTCTGAATGCTCCATCAGGATATTTGGTCAATTTTGATTTGTACCAGGGGAAAAATCCGAAAGGAAATCATTCTTTCGAAGAAGAATTTGGGAAAAATATTGCACCAATGATAAATATGATACACGAGTTTCCAGAAGCTGTTAGAAAACTGCCCTTTCGTTTTTATTTCGACAATTTGTTCACTAACTTCAACGTGTTATTTTATCTGAAACAACTGGGATTTGATGGCACAGGAACAATTCGAGAAAATCGCATTCCTAAATCTTGTCCGTTACTAAATAAAAAAGGTGTTTTGAAACAAAAAAAAGGGGAGAATTCACTTCAAGTCTGAATAAGGATGATGGTATTATTGTTGTCAAGTGGGTCGATAACAACGTCGTCGCTGCAGTTTCGACTTGTTATGGTATAAATCCAATCACCAAAGTAAAACGATTTTCTCGAGCAGAAAAGAAGATCATATATGTTGGCCGTCCATCACTTCTAACAGAGTACAATCGCTTCATGGGGGGTACTGATTTGTTAGATGAGAATGTTGCCAGTTATAGAATCAGTATTAGGCGCAAAAAGTGGTGGTGGGCAATTTTCACCTGGCTGTTGGATGTTTCAGTGGTGAATGCTTGGACTATTTACAGGAAGCATGAAGCTATTTCTCAGTTGAACTCCAGAAGACAAATTGTGCAATCATATCTCACTAAATATGGAGTTCCTCCTAAGGGAGCAGGGAAGCCCGCAATATCACGTTCGAGCGTAACTCTGAATAGAATATCAGATGATCTTCGATATGATGGTAGTAACCATTTACTCGTGCCAAATGAAGGCAAGAAAAGGAGAAGATGCGCTGGTGAAGGCTGTTCGTCTAGTATAAGAACTAAATGTCGTAAATGTGAAGTAGGTTTATGCATTGACTGTAACGAAATATTTCACACAAAATAAAAATATTTGTACCCCTTATTCGGCTAGCGTTACCATATGGTAACAGCGATATTCTTTCAATAAAAGCAATTTTCATGGAATTTTTTTTTATATATATATTTAATTCGTGTTATTGGTTAGCTAAATAACAGCTATTTTTGGTGAAATTCAAAAAAAAAAATTTCGCCGTTGAAGGGTTTTAATTGATCCGGAATAATACATTTTCTGTTTATTTATGTTTAACAAGAATGTACGTGTTTAACAAAAAAATTATATTGGTAAAAAATGTTAGTATTTTAACATAGAATTGTGAGAAGTATTTTATATTCCAATATTTTTTTTTTGAGAGGCGAGATAATTTTTAGAATTACTTTTTTCTATAAAAAAATACTTTTCATTCTTCTGTGATTCATCATCTATTATCCCACCAAATTTCATTGATTTTGATCCAATACTTTAGACGTAAATCAAAAAATAGTTTAACCCGCCGCACAGAGGTACCCAGGCCTCTTAAGTTAACTTTAACAAACATCAAAGTTTCAATAAATAAACAAAACTAAGTGCAGACAGTTGTTACAATAATTATTTTTGGATTACCTATTTTTTAGATTTCTTTTATTATGCAATTTTTTATAAAGTTCATTTGAGGATTTGGAACTTAAAATTTAAATCTTCTGGCGCCCACTAAAGACACTCCTTATCCACCCTAATTTTGCTCTCTGGCGTACAGCTGCCACTGCAGTACCCTTTTTGTTAAAAAAGAGGCTACAGTGTTTTGGACTCTCATTCAAGTTTATTTTTTTGAAATTGATAATTCTTTTCTGCCTAGGTATATCTGTTTAAACTTTGATACCTTTCCTTAAATCATAATAATTCATCGAACGAAACATTCCGGTATTTGAACTTTTTGATTCTACAGCAATGTATTAGACCACTTTTGTTAAACTAATATTATTTATCGGGGTTCTTCGAAGTTTTCTTGAATAATTTCGAAACTATGTTTTTCTGTTGTTTTTGCAAAGAAACATTCCAAACAATACATTTACTTTTCTTACACATCAAGTTTAATTATTCTCTTGCAAACTGTTCCTCAATTAGGCCGGCGACACACTTGCGGCTTTGCGCGGCTTTGCCGCGCGATGAATGTTAAACACATACTTTTACGAAAGGTGACATACTAGCGGCGGCGCCGCGACTTGCCGCATTTACACCGCAACATGCAGCGTTGCTGCTGCACCTTGCGGTAGCGCCGCTGTGAATGTGTTACATAGTTTGTTACGGACGTGTTCATACTTGCGTCGCGGCCGCATGTTAAAAAATATTGTCCGGGGGTAAACTCATTTGTCTCTTGTCGCGAACTGGGTCAGTTGTGCTACTCTAAGCAAAATGTTTGTCGTTGAAAAATTCTTAATGTTAGTGGAATCAAAGGAATGTTTATGGAAAATCTCTGCTAAGGATTATAGTAACAGGGATAAGAAAACGAACGCCTGGCAGGAAATTTGTAAAGAAATGTTTCCAGACTGGGAGGAACTAGATCAAGACGAGAAGCGAGAAAAAGGTAAGTCCAATATGCCTAACTATATTTTTTATTTTAACAAAAGCACGAAAACACATAAGTAGACAAGTAGTTCATATCATACGTTGTTGTCAAGTAATAGCCCCTTCTGGAGTAACAAAGTAGTCAGCAAAATTGTCGCGAACACCATGTCCCTCTGTTTGCCCTCCGCCAGTACCACGCACTGGAATATCCTCTTAATTACAAGATAATGTGTCTTCGAACTGATAACCATCCCTTCTTCTTACAAAGTTGTGAAGTACGCAACTTGCTTGAATGATTTTAACAGCAAAATCCAGCTGTACTAATATAGGGGTGTGAAATACGCGCCATTTGTTGCTGAGTATACCAAAAGTGCATTCAACAAAGCGTCTAGCCCGCGTATGTCTGTAATTGAAAATACGCGTCTTTTCATCCAAATTGCGCCTGGAGTACGGTCGTAGTAGATTGGTATGGAGTCCGAATGCTTCATCCCCAACAAAAACAAACGGCTGATGCGGTCCATTGGTTCTGGGCAAAGCTTGAGGTGGTGGAAGATTTAAAGTTTTACCGTAAAATTTCACACCCAAAGCGGATTGCTTTAAAATGTTACAGTCTGCTTCTCTGCCATAGGCACCAATATCGACAGCAATGGAACAGTAGTTTGCGTCAGCAACTGCCATTAACAGTAGTGAAAAATACTATTTGTAATTGAAGTATTGTGACCCGCTATGGTGTGGAAATATTATGCGGAAATGCTTTCCATCAACCGCTCCAACACAGTTCGGAAAATTAGAACGCGAAAAGAATTCATCAGCACATTGTAACCATCTTTCTGTGGTGGGTTCAGGCATTTCAATGGGTTGTAAAATTTTCCACAACGCAGTGCACGTCTTCTAACTATCTTCGCTACTGTACTTCTTCCCATGACGAATTCGTGCTGCAGAGCAGCAAAATGCGTTCCCGTCGCCAAATATCTGGAACAGAATAGATTTTTTTTAACATATATGAATTTGCAGGGCCAGAAGTCCAAAAAAAATGGAAAAACCTAAAAGATAGGTTCCAGAAGGAGGTGCGAAGGGAAAAAGCTGTAAGAAGCGGGTCTGCTGCTTCCAAAAAGAAGAAGTATGTTTACTACGACATCATGCAATTCTTATTACCTCAGCTTGAAAGTCGCAGGTATTATTTGCATTATCTTTAAAAATATCTTTGTGATGTTGTATTTTCAGCACTGAGTCAAATATTGAGCCACCTAATCCACCAGAGCAAAACTCAGACATGTCACTCTCGGGACTACTGCAGATGACTCCCTGGAATGTCGCCCACCACCTCCAAAACCTCCAAGAAAATCTGTTCAATCTAGCCAAAAAACCAATTTTGAGACTCAATTGCTTCAAATCCTAGAAAATCGCAAAGAAACACAACAACAAGATGAAGATTTGGCATTTTTTCGATCACTGTTGCCTGGTGTCAGGAAATTAACTGATCTGCAAAAAACCACGTTCAAAATGGACGTTCTCAATGCTCTACAGAAACAGCAACGCCTAAATATCCCTCAAATGCCCCCTTACAATCAAGCATCTGTGCCATACCCTTCAACCTATTCTCACTACTAGACTCCTCAAACTTTTACTTCCACTTATCAGTCACTCAATCCACCATCCCCTACAAACTACCTTCACACTTCAACACCTTTACTCTCACCGTCAGTTTCCGCCGATTCTTCTGAATGCAGACATTCCCAGTTTAGTGCAACTTTCGATTTGTTCCCTCCCAACTAGGAGCACGCCATACATATGTATATAATACACAGTTAATGAAAGACATATTCGTCATACTTACCTTATAGCTACTGTTAATTTCTCTTCTACACTAATTGGTTCGCGAAATCGAGAATTGCTCTTTTGGAGCGAAGATCGAAGTAGCAGAACTAATTCGTCAAATGAAGTGACCGACATCCTGAAATAATTGAAAAATCTTTCCGGATACTTCCGCAGTTCCCCGAACAAGCAGTGAAATTCGCCTAACGTTAACGTTTTGTATTTAGCGGGTGAACCCAGCAACGTCTTCGTTTCCTTCTTCGTTTGTGTATTGCATATGCTATACACACTACCTCTATGTCTTGCAACATGTCATCTCACCAAACACTTGGAACAGACTGCTGCGGACGACCGTCGCAAATATGAACGCATCTCAAATGTTTGTGTGTCGCCGGCCTTTAGTTGATTAAAATATATAATTCTGGTAAGATTTACAATGTGAAAATGGCTCAGTTTATGCATAAGTAATGATAATTATTAAATACTAACCTATTATTAGTAAAAAGTGAGATGTTTTGGCTGTTTTTGCTTTTTTGTTGTTGTTATCTTGCGGTATTTGTATAATTTAATTTTTATTATTTCTTTATTTACGTTGTATGTATATGTATGTATTTTGTTTGTATAAGTATGTTCTTTGGCCAAAGATCAAAATATATGTGTATAGATTCCTTCATGGGCATTTTTTGTTTATTTATTTTTGTTCCTAGGCCAGCGTTTTTCCGCAATTTTTTTTTCTGTCGACTGCGGAAGAACGTTGGACCAGATTTCTACCTTCAAAAATAACAAAACTATGATGAGATCTGATGATGTTGTACAAGGAAATAGATTTGTTGAGCTTGGATATGTTCTCGAGCATATCATAGATCTGCAATATGTACACTCACAGGCGTGCTCATTTGGAAAACTCGTATCTGAAGAGGAATTGAGAAGAGAAAAAGGTTTGACAAGTACTATAATGCTGAAATGTTCCATGTGCTTGATACTGAAAACCCAAATAAAGCTAATTCGGTTATGAATGTTGGAGTAGTATATGGTACATTAGCAACAGGTAGCTGCTACGAACATCTGAGTGACCTTCTCAGTTGCATGGATATACCAGCAATAAATAATAATCTCCTTACTTACATAAATGGGTAGTTTTAGCCCTTGAGGGGTGTACAGTGTGTTTCGGAATAATTTCTGGATAAGCTTTCAAGTTTAAATCTATTTATACAATGTTCAGTGATATTTTTTATGTCTATTGAGTCACAGACGTCAAACTCTAGGTTCTCCTTTGTAATTGTTTCAGCTAATGATGGGATTCTTATAATCTCGAAACATGTCCTAGTAGTATTCCAACGAAGAAACAAATAAAATTTAGTGGAGAAGACTGAAGTTTTCTTTTTGTAATAAATAATATTCCTTTCTATGAATTAGAGGAGAAGCTTGGAAGAGTAGGTACCTAGGAATTTTTTTCTTTATTGTATAATGTTATCTTATCAATATTTTGCATTCTTTCGGGAGTCGGAAGCCTCCTTGTCAAATTCTTTGGAAACAGCTGCTGCTGAAGAGGGGACTATTACACTGAAGAAGAACCAGGTATGTCCTCTTTGGATTACAGTTTATATTGATGGCTCTTGGAATAAACAGTCCTATGGAACCAATTATAATGCATTGTCTAGTATGGCTGCTATAATGGGGAAAAATATTGGAGAGCTTTTATTTATAGGAGTCAGAAATAACCTGTGCTTCCTCTGCTCAAGAGCAGCAGTTAAGGATGAAATAGCAAAAATACATACATGCTATATAAAAACTTGGAAGGGACAGCACCTGCTATGGAGTCTGATGTCATTGTTGACGGATTCATTAAAAGTGAGGCTGCATACGGCTTAAGATACCTCAAATTTGTGGGTAACAGAGATTCAAGTGTCTTTTGCAAAATTCAGGAGAAAGTGACTCACGGAAGTTAAGTTAAAAAAGCTGAGCGCACTAATCGTGCATTAAAAAATTATGGGAAAAGGCTAATAAACATTAAGGGCAAAAATTATTAACAATTAAAAAAAATTATTTACTAACAAAAAGTACTAAGTGCTTAATCTGTGAGCACTCCAAAAGTGAAGACAGAAATGTGGATTTACTTCGAAGGGATTTGAGGCTAGGTTTTCACTATGTTTTTGACGACCATTCAGGATGCAGACAACAAATTTGTAACACTCTAGGAGAAACCCCAAATAATCAAATTCTAGACTTGAAGAGGACTTGTATCTACAATCATCTTGCAGGTTAGTTTAAATTATGTCTTACGTGTTAATAACGAAATTCATTTCTTTCAAATTTATAACAATCCACGTATTTTTATTCGTAATTATATATTTTTATCTACAAGCGTTTGGTTATGACGTTTTTACATAACCATTTTTCTAGTATTTGAGTTATGTTATGAGACTCATAACACAACTAGTGGTGTTATGGACGAGGTTATGAATTCATAACACAACTAGTGGTGTTATAGACTAGGTTATGAATCCATAACACAACTATTTTTGATGATTTGACAAATGTCAACGTTAAACCTGTAAAGGTAAAATGAAGGTAGAAAACTACTAATAAACGAAAATAATTGAAACATCATTCTTATTTTTCGCTTTGTAGATAAAACGTTGTACATCACACGCGCGTTTAAACATGACTACAAAACTCGTGTGATTAGAACGACGACCGAAAACTTTCACACTCGTTATTGTAATGATGTTCATAAACGCACTTGTAATGTAAATAACTATTAGCAGACTTGGACGTATTGGTCAGAAAAACACATCTTCTAATTGAAAACGAGAATAACAATAAGGCAGAAAGATTGATGAACACAGTAGCACCATTTACTGCAGGAATGCGTTCAAATTTAGTTCAGAGGGGTTCATCTCAAAGAATCCGGTTTGAGGCATGATGAAAAAGTGAATTGGCATTATAGCCCATACAAAAGATTTACAGGAACAAGCTCTGGAAAATATTTGAAAAAGTTTATGTCAAGTCTTCACTTGAAAGGTTTAGGAAGAAATCCACTTACAGGAAAAGATTATTCGGAGCGGATAGTAATGCTAAAAAAAAAAAAAAAAACAAACTCAATCTGAGAAAAACACTGATTATGAGGTACTGGCTGACCAACCAGAAGACTCAGCGGTTATGGAAAAAGAAGTTGAAGAAATTATAGAAAGATTGAGGCATTTATTGATTTGAACCGTTTCTAACACGGAAAAAATTGTCTTACATACCAATTTTTTTGTGCCTATCTTTTTTACACATCGATTTTAGGTTAATGAATCAGAGTGGAATGCTATTCAGAAGAAAACTGTAAGTCAGTTTGCAAACGAGTTATTTGAAGACGAAAAAAGCGAAAGGTTAACTGCTTTAATTTTCGAGCAAGTAGTTAGACGAAAAGCATACACACCTTGTCATAACTTGGTCAAGACGTATTTGACAGAGTACTTTTTTTTGGTCGGAAGCGACAGAATATGGCATGTCTAAAGAAAAAGTAGCAATCGCATTATTTGAGAACACATCATAGCTGAAAGTACGAGAGTCAGGGTTGTGGATAGATCTAGAGAACGGATTTCTCGGTGCATCTCCAGATAGCAATATTCTATTTTTAAACAATTTTTTTTTCTTTTTAAATTCAGGAATCATTGACAGTGAAAACGCATTAGTCGAAGTGAAGTGCCTCTTTTCCGCAACAAAACTTGAACTCGCCTCAAATACTATAGCAGAGATATGTCAAAAATTAAAGGGAAAGATTTGTCTACAGTAAGAAAATGGAGCTATAACGCTAAAAAAACGCATAATTATTATTATCAGGTATGAAAATAATAATTTTGCTATCAATATTTTTCTTGATGATGATTTTTTTTACAGATACAAGGACAATTTAACATTGCCAAGAAGCAAACGTTATTTTATTATTTATATAAATTGGGTATACGTTAAGACACTATTTGTTCCATTTTCAAGAAAAACTCTATTTTTGTGCGTTATTTATTGCGGGTTGTACCACAACCACTGTGAACGCGATACAGACTATATCGATCGATTTATTTATTGATCGATTATTCGATTCGGTGGACATCTGCTAGGACAGCAGGGGAGTCGTGCTGTCGTCAAGCAAGCACTCATCCGACTACTAGCCAGCCATTATAAGAGACAACATCTATTTTTTGTAGTACGATTTTTTGATTTAAAGTAAAATTTGGTATTATTCAGTTGAATAAAAATTATAAATTTTTAAATCAAGATAGTCCACTTATTAAAGACCATAAATGACAAAGTGTAACTTTTTATAGAGGAAATTGGAAGAGATGAAATGTTTTGGAAGCAACATATGTTACCAAAACTAATTTCCTCCATAAAAGACTTGTGTTGCATCAGAAACCATAAGGAAAAATATTGAAAAGGGCAGAAAGTGTGTGGATCCACCTAATATTTTAAAATCAATGGCGGAGTATGAGGAGAACAGACAAAATGCAGCTCAAAATAAAATCGATTTTTGAAAAATAGTAGGTAGGTACCGTAAGGTTGTGTGACTTTAGCCACTAGGGTTGACTTTGGCCATTT